CCAAAAAAAAAAAAAAAAAAAAAAGTCTTCCTTTTAACAGTAGTGTGGGTCTGCTAGTGATGAATTCTTGAAGCGTTTGTGTATCTGAAAATGCCTTTATCTGGCCTTCCCTCACCACCCCCACCTAATTCATAGACTTTTTTGAGTCGGAGTCTCATTCTGTCACCCAGGCTGGAGTGCAGTGGCACACTCACAGCCACTAGCCTCGACCTGCTGGGCTCAGGTGATCCTTCCGCCTTAGCCTTCCAAGTAGCTGGAACTACAGGCATGTACCACCACGTCCTGCTTATTTTTTTATTCATTGTAGAGACGAGGTCTTGCCGAGTTGCCCAGGCTGGTCTAGAACCCATGACCTCAGGCCACTTTCTCACCTCAGCCTCCCAAAGTGCTGGGATTATAGGCGTGAGCCACCCCGCCTGGCACATAGACTTTTTTAAAGAGCAATTTTAGGTTCATAGCAAAGTTGAGCTGAAAGTGCAGAGTTCCCACATACTGTGCTCCTTCTCGCCACACACATGCCCTCTCCCTCCATCAGTATCAACTCATCATTGCCAACCTTGGTTTGTCAAGCCAAGTCCATTGCTTGCATTAGGATTCACGCTCTGCATTGTGTTTCCTATGAGTTTTCACAAATGTATAATGATGTATGCCAACCATTATAGTTCTGTAAATCAAAAGCAAAATTTTAAGCTCCCCCAACCAGCTGAACAGACCTCCTCTGTGCCAAGGGAAACCTAAAAAGCTAAACCTCAGGCCATGAGGGAAAAGGAGGTTGAACATACCGTGTCAAATCCCCTCTTTGTGGAATTTTAGGTACAACTGACCACCATTAACATTAAAATAAAGATCAGAAAACTGACAAAACAAACTCTGTGGTAACGAGATACTAAATCTCAAACTGACTTTGGCATAGCATCACATGAAGGATAGTAGACCCTACAGAAAATACAAACATTTTACCCCAAAGTATATTTCTTTAACTTATTTGGAAATAGCCCTGCAAAGCCATCTTTTGTGGGGAAATACTTCCATCTACAGAGAACTCTCATTCACACAGCCAGATCTTTCCCCTACCAGAACTTCCCAGATCCAGGAGGGACTAGCTGAAAGGCTGACACCTTTAACGTCTGAACAGCAGGCATTTGCCATGTATTCTCTCTAAGGCTTGTCACCTATGAAGCCTTATCTACATATCAAGAGCCTTGGCTTCCTCAACCTAGCCTCAGCTGTACTCTGCATTTCCTGACTGATTTCAGAATTCTTCAGACAGAACTTAACACTTTTTACCAATTGTCAGTCAGAAAATCTTTGAAGCCACCTATGGCCTGCACACCCCACCCACCCCTTGGAGATGTCCCACCTTCCAGGCCAAACCAATGTGAATCTCACATGTGTTGATTATGTTTTACCTGTAACTTCCATCTCCTTAAAAATGCATTAAGCCACGCTGTAATTCAACCATTTTGGGCACATGTTTTCAGGACCTCTTGGAAAGGTGCCACCTGCCTTGGTCACTCACATTTGGCTCAGAATAAACCTTTTAAAATATTTTACAGAGTTTGGCATCTTTTGTCAACCTCTTCATACAGAATCATTTCCCTGCCCTAAAGGTTACCTGTGCCCCACCCATTGACCCCTCCCTCTCAAAACCCTGGCTACCACTGATTTATTTACTATCTCCATTTAATTCATTTACTGACTTTTCCAGGCTGTCATATGGCTGGACTCATACAGTATGTATGTGGCCTTTTCATATTGTCATCTTTCACTTAGCAATGTGATTTAAGGGTCTTCTCTATATTTTTGTGGCTTGATAGATCATTTAAAAAAAAATTAACTGACATAAAAATTGTATATATTTATGGTACATAACCAGATAGTTTGAAATATTTATAGATTGTAGAGCGGCTCAATCAAGCTAATTGACATGTGTATTACCTTACCTACCTTTTTTTGTGGTGAGAACACTTAAAATCTATTTTAGTGGTTTTCCAGTATACATTGTTATTAGCTATAGTCACCATGCTTTACATTAGATCCCTTGACTTTATTCCTCCTGTCTAAAGAAATTCTGTATTCTTTGATAAATACTTCTCCCTACTCCCCCTCCACCCACCTTCCTCCCACCCCCTGGCAACCACTATTCTATTCTCTGCTTCTATGGGTTCAACTGAAGATTACACATATAAGCTAGATCACGTGGTATTTGTCTCTGTGCCTGGTTTTCATGGAATGTAATATTCATCCATGTTGGAAATGACAGGATTTTCTTCTTTCTGAGGACGAAATAGTGTTGCATTGCCTATGTAGTCTACATCTCTCTCTCTATCCATTTAGCCACTTATGGATACCTCACCAGTTCTTAGCTATTGTGATAGCTCATTTCCTTTTAGCCCAGAATAATATTCCATTGTATGGATGTACCACAGTTTAGTGATTTACCTATTGAAGAACATCTTGCTTGCCTCTGAGTTATGGCAATTATGAATAAGGTAGCTATAAGCATTTGTGCACAGGTTTTTATGTGAATGTGTTTTCAACTTGCGTTCATTTTTTGAAAGGCATTTTTGCTGAATATAGAATCCTAGATTGTTAATATTTTTCCTTTCAGTGCTTTAAAGATATTTCTTCACTGTCTCATTAATTGCAGTTTCCACTGAGAAATCTGATATCATTTATCTTTGTTCTTCTGAGTATAACATATCTTTCTTCTGACTGCTTTTAACATTTGCATTGATCACTGAGTTTTGGCAATTTTTTCCTCATATTTCTTATGCTTTGTTGAGCTTATTGTAGATGTGTTTATAACTTTCTTCAAGCTTAGAAAAATTTCAGCCATTATTTCTTCAAATGATGTCTCCTTTACCTCCTTTTTGCATGAGACTCCAATTGCTTATGCAGTATGCCACGAATTCTCTCGTAAATTTAATGCCCTTTTAATTTTAATTCATTTGAATCGAAACTTTTTGATAGTATCTTTTTATGATTTTTAGGAACTCATTATTAAGTTTTATTAGTGCTTGACTTGAAGTCTTTCTTTAGTGGCCTAAAAAATTTTCCTGTTGGCACTCATAAGGACCTGGCTTCCGTCACCCCCAAGTGATTTCATAGTAACCTAGTTGCCATCTGACAACCCAACTAGATAACCTGATATAATTCCCAGGATCCTAAGCACTTTTCTGAATGGAGTTGGGGCCCACTGAAATGCGAGTAATGTCACATCTAGGATCTTGATAGCAACCTGACCTTGAATCTATCTGTTAGCATTCTTGACAATTCCACTTGCTACTGGTTGACGAATCCATACTCTAAAAAGCCATAATCACTTGATACTTAACAGAGTTCCCAAAAGTTCACCTCATGTCAGTTTCATTGACCAAACTTTTTTTTTTTTTGAAAGCAAGATTTATTGAAGAGACAGAAAAACTCCCACAGTGAGAGGGGAACTGAGAGGGTTGCCCCCAGCCTTTTGATCTTAAATTTGAATGGTTGAACAGGGAGTTAGGAACATAGCAAAAGGAATATCCAGATAGTGCTAGTTAGTATTAAAATCATGGTTTCTAAGGTTAGTTTGTATAGAGAATAACCAGTTATCCATCAATACTTGCTCCACATGTACAGATTTTAGTCAAGATGGAAGAAAATCTAAAATAAGTACATACTTATAACCTTTAAATAAAAACAGGTTTCCTTACATATTCTTCAAATTTCGCAGTATGTCTGGATACTTATAGCAGTCCCGCATGATATTTAAACTAGGACAGCATATCCAGTGTCTATGTTAGAGGCTTAAAATACAACTTTAAGAAGCTAGACATTTGGCATCCTAGAAGCTGAGTGTTAGGATGTATGTGGATCAGGATTTAAGAAGTATCCTTTTGTCATTAAGACAAAATTTAAGAAATTTTTGTGGTTTATGAGAGTTGGACATACCTTTTTAATACCCTTTTGGTAGGTGAATTATAATTCCAAATCTTTTCCCAAACAGCCAGTGAAAATGCTGACTGCTGTTTAGGAATCCAACTGACTGGTTGCAAATGAGTGCTTTTGTTTATCAGTCTGGTCTGTTGCTGTTTAATGACTTAAAAGAAACATTTTTTTGAACTTTAATATTTGGTGTAATTTCAGATGCTAAAGAATATCTAACCATAAGGGCATTGAGAAAAGACTTCAGAATGTCGTAAACATTTGTTTCCTTTCTTAATTTGCTTTTTTTCCACTTCAGCTTATTTTAAAATATGTTTTTAGCACTTTATGAAATATTGGGCTGAGTGTTGTACCTGCAATCTGATTCAGTCTTCATATATACCTATCCATGGAATACACTTGATTAAATAACTTGCCTTAGGTTACACAGTTGGTAAATGGCAGAATCAAGGAAAGTGCATGGCTTTAATTTACATATTGTAGTTCTCTCGCATAGGGAAGGTACTGGTTCATTCAGAAAGTAATTTTATGTGTCTACCACTGTGTCAGTTATAGAAATAGATAAGACAGTGTGCTCTCAGTTCATGTTCTTATGAATACCCACTCTGTCAACACTGAGAGTTTTCTCTCTTACTTGAAAAGAAAGGTCAAACTTATTTTTCGTGTTCTTATAGGTTTTAATTTTTATGTATCACATGAACATCATATTGACAAAAATCTAGTAGTATTTGAACAGAAATAAGAAATTATGTGACAATTTATGTTAGTTTTCATGTTGTATCATCTATTCTGAAATGTTGCATAATCATTTTCATGTAGCTGTAATAGAGGCATACATTTTTAAAGTAACATTAAAATTTTCTCCCTTTTTTCTACAGATGGCGGGTACCATTGATATGACTCTTCAAAGTGACATTATGACAATGTTTGAAAACAACTTTGATTAAAACTAATTTTTAAATTATCCATCAGTTTAAAATGAATGATCAAAGATGAAAATGCATATGGTAACATGATTGCTTTCAGACACCAAGATAACCAATCTTATACTGTATTTTGACTGCTCTAAAATGATTAAACAATTTTCATTTACATTTTTAATAGCCAAGTGTTCATTTTGTTAAAGACATAGGAAGTTTTATAATTTTGGATCCCTAAAAATTGGATAAATTCCTAGATGTTATTCATTCTATAAATAATTGCCTATGTGTTATATATAGTTCCTTTTCTCAGCATTGGAAATCCAAAAAAGATAATCCCTGCCTGTTTAAAAATGAAAAGTTTGGCTTTTCTAATTCAGGAAGTGAAAAATAAGACAATATAAATGTGTATAAAAAGCATAGTTCCTGTTGAGTTTTTAACTGTTATAACAAATATTTGCTTTAAAAAAATATTTACATCTTGTATCAGATAAAACTTGGTTTCATTGAGTGTCAGATTACCCAAGATTTTCTGCTGGTTTTATAATCAAATTTTAATATTACCCATGGTTTGAAGATGTTGAATTGGAGGAGGCAAAATAAATATTAAATATTTATTAATAGTATTTAATAACAAATATTATGTGTGTAAGTTTCTATAGGAACTTGAGATATTTCTTAATATGCATATGTGATAGCGATGAATGTTTAAATATTTTACTTAACTACAGTAAGACTTTTTAATTTAAAGATACTGTAAAATATTCGTTTTGTCATTTTCAAGTTGCAATTATATATAAATCATGTGTATCAGTTTTATGTATTTTAAAGCTTTGAACTCTTTAAAGAGAAAAAAAGTTTTCTTGACATCATTTATTTTTACAGTTAATAAGATAAATTTTTGAAATGCCACTAAACTACCAGGCATTTTTAAAACATGATTAACTAGTGACTAAAATGGTGTTGTTAACTTCATGACACAGTCAGAATAATCCAGTTATTTTAATTTAAGAAATAAGTATATGTATACTAAACGATGCATTGTTATGCTACTGTCCTAAAAGGTTCTGTATATAGTTTTATATACCTAATCTAAAAGATTATAGAAAGCTATGTAGCCAGGTTCAGTGGCTCAACCTGTAATCCCGCGCTTTGGGAGGTTGAGGTGAGTGGATTGCCTGAGCCCGTGGGTTTGAGACCCGCCTGGGCAACTTGGCGAGACCTCATCTCTACAATAGATCAAAAAATTAGCCAGGCGTGGTAGCGCGCGCCTGTAGTTCCAGCTACTTGGAAGGCTGAGGCGAAGGATCGCCGGAGCCCAGGAGATTGAGGCTGCGGTGGCTGGGAATGTGCCACTGCACTCCAGTCTGGGTGACAGAGTGAGACTCCAACTAAAACAAAACAAAACAAAACAAAAACCTGGCACTTAACCTGCTCTTAGTCTGTAAGGGGCCTGGCACATTGTAGCTACTCAACAAACTTTTAGTAGATTAGTTGAAATAAATTTAGCAAAGAAAAATACTGGTTTATAACCAATCCTTCCTATATTATACATTATTTTTTAGTGAAAGATCAGTTTGGGCCAGGCACTGTGGCTCATCCTTGTAAGCCCAAAACTTTTATGAGGCCAAGGCAGGAGGATCACTTGAGGCCAAGAGTTCAAGACCAGCCTGAGCAACATAGCAAGACCCACCTTTACAAAAATAAAAATAATTAGCCAAACATAGGGTGGCATGCATGATAGTCCTAGCTACTCTAGAGAATCCCATGAGCCCAGGAGTTCGAGGCTGCAGTGAACTGCAGTGAGCTGATGGTGCCACTGCACTCCAGCCTAGGTGATAGAAAGAGATTCTGTCTCTTAAAAAAAAAAAAGAAGGTCTCTTTAAAAAAAAAAAAAAAAAAGCCAGGTACAATGACTCGTGCCTGTAATCCCAGCACTTTGGGAGGCCAAGGATTGCTTGAGTTCAGGAGTTCAAGACCAGCCTTGGCAACATAATGAGACCTTGTCTCTACAAAAAAGAAAAAGAAAAAGAAAAAAATTACCCAGGTATGGTGGTGTGCACCTGTAGCTCCAGCTACTTCAGAGGTAGAGGCAGAAGGATCACCTGAGCCCAGGAGGCTGCAGTGAGCCATGATAGTGCCACTGCACTCCAGCCTGGGCAACAAAATGAGACCTTGACTCAAAAAAAAGTTTATCTCCTTCCTCCACCCCACATATTAAGAGATGAAAGCTTATATGTTATTCTGTCTTATTTATGCTCATACAAATATAGACATGTAGAAGATCTGAGGAAGTGGTTTTCACAAAAAATCATCTGTATATGTTACTTGGGAATTGATTTTTCTTAATGCATCATAAGCATGAGGTCATAAGATGGCTATACACTAATTTATTCTTTTTTAAAGGCTGTGTACAGCATTCATTAGAATGCCTGTAATTTAAATAAAGGATTCCCTGTTCATTTGATTGTAGCCTTTCCCCACTATTAATAATTATGAAGTAAATATCCTGTTTACATTATAGCCTTACGTAATTATGCTTCTGTATCTGAAGGGTAGCGCTCCTAAAATGAGATTGCTGGGTCAGAAGGTTTGGTCAAAGAGAGTAGTTTTAATTTTAATAGATGCTGCCAGATAACTATTTCAGAAAATGGTCAAGAAGTGGACATTTCTCTAAGTTTGAAGGTACCACTTTCCCATTAACCTCACCAGCACTGATATTATTGTCTTTCTATTTTTTGTTCATCTGAATGTAAAGATTATAATTTGTTTGATTTGCATTTCCCATATTACCATTGGAATTGATGATTTTATATTGGTTTGCCATGTGAGTTTGATCACTTTTGCCTGATCACTTTTGGGAGGCATCTTTTTCTTATCAATTTATGCTCTCATTTTCTTTTTTTTAACTTTTGGATGTTGGTCTTTCGGGAACATTTTTTGATAATCTATTGTTTGTCTTTTTTTTTCATTAAAATTTTAAATTATATGTAGTCATGCTTTTCCTTTGTGATGTCTGGATATTCTGCCATGTTTAGGAATGTATCCCTATATTACGATGATAGAATATTCTTTTTTCTTTTTGCACTTAAGGTCCAAATATAATTCATTCTTACACTATATTTTCAGATGTAGTAAAGATGTTTTTAGATATGGTATGAGGTAGGAGACAGGCTTTTTTTTCCTTCCTAATGAATCATCAGTTATGCTACCACAGTTTACTCACCTAACCTCTGAATTGCTAAACTGTCACTCCATAAGAAATTTATAATCACTTCACCTAATTTGTAAATGTTGAATGAGCTTAAACACTTAGTGTTTTGATTCAGATGAGATTAGAATTAAATTTAGAGACCTATCAAGAAGTTTATTTTCAATTTTACAAATATATTCCACATAGATTTAATTTCTGAAGCACCGCCAGTCCAGCCCAAAATTAGTTGGGAGCACAGCAGCAAAGCAACTCGGATGGTGGAACTTTCTTAAGTTCAGATGCTTGGTGCTATGTTGACATGCTCGTTGTGCCATGGACCAGTAGTGAGATGTGAGCATTGAAGGAGGGTTCAAGAGGCTACAGTTCCCAGCCTGGCTATAGGCAGAAGCAGGATCACCAGAAATTAAGATCAAGAAATTAACCCGTGGCCGGGTGTGGTGGCTCTTGCCAATAATCTCAGTACTTTGGGAGGCTGAGGTAGGAGAATCACCTGAGGCCAAGTGTTCAAGACCAGCCTGGGCAACATAGTGAGGTCCCCGTCTCTTTAAAAAAGAAAGAAAGAAATTAGTTCACAGTCAAAGATGAATGGCATAAAAAGGCAAGCCACAATGAGTGAAAGCAGAAACAACAACGAGTTGTTTCTACCTTTCACTCCACTCTCCCTACTAAAGTGGAGCAGCTTTTTGTAAAATGTGACTTTCAGGGGAGCAGGGGGGATGAATGGGTTTGGGAAAAAATAAAACTTCTAGAAAAGCAAGTGTTGAAGTAGAATCCATTTTTTAAAACCCAAATGGATGGGTTAAAACAACTAGGCATAGATAGAAAATCGGTGAGCTAGAAGATACATCCCAATAGAGATACCAGGAAATCATGAATTTCGCAGCAATCTGGATGGGACTAGAGTCTACAATACTGAGTGACCTCTCACAGAAACAAAGATCCGAGTATCACGTGTTCTCACTCATAGAATGGACCTTGAACATCCAACGTAATGCTATAAGAAAATGACTGACGGTACTGGGAAACTATGGGGGGGAGGGAGATGGGATTAACAGTCGCAAATATCTGTCTGGGGACGGGGAAACACCTCTTATCAACAGGGTGCCTGAATGAAACATAATTGTACACCTAACCCTTAACTGTACCCCACAACATCATAATATAAAATATTGATTAAAAAAAAAAAAAGATACCAGGATACAGCACAGAAAGACAAGGAGGAGAAAAAGACAAAAACATAGCTCCTAGCCTAAAATATTTACTATCTGGCCATGAAAAGGTTTAATATATACAGGTTCCAACAATTAAGTTCACGAACTCATCCTGGAAAAAGAGTCTCATACCTCAGTGCTGAATATCATTACAGTCACCTTCTAAGTACTCCCCTTAAGAAGCTATGCATCAACGCCAGTTTTGAGTCCACCCCACCCGTCAAAAGCCATTTGGAACAGTTAAGTTCACAAACTCATCCTAGAAAAAGTGCTGCATACCTCATTGCTGAGGTGTGTATATCACTACAGTCACCTTCAAAGTACTCCTCTTGGGAAGCGATGCACCAACACCAGCACCTCGTCTGCCTGTCAAAGCAATTTTGGAACTCTTTTTCTGGAATGGCCATCAGAGTTGGCATCACATTACCCTTGATGTCCTGAATGTTATGTCTTCCTTTCAATATTTCCTTTATCTTCGGGTAAAGAAAAAACCCATTGGGGGCCAGATCAGGTGAGTAGGGAGGGTATTCCAACAAGTTATTTGTACAGTGCCACCAACATAAGCGCACGGTGGCAAGTTCATGATGTTAATTGTCAGACCTCAGTAAGTAACGACGGCTCTGATGGCTATTCCAGAAAAAGAGTTCCAAAATGGCTTTGACGGGTGCACTAGGCGCTAGTGTTGGTGCATTGCTTCCCAAAGGGCGTACTTTGAAGGAGACTGCAGTGACGATATTCAGCAATGAGGT